TTTCATTCTGAATTGGCAGCCATGATAATGATCATTTTCATTCTTCTACAGGAGCTCTAGGTTGAAGAAGTTAAATGAAGGGAACGCTTCATCTTTATAGCTAGTTTTATGTTCCTGTGTGTTTTATGTTCCTGGGTGTTGTACTTCATAGCAGCACTTCCTAGGTGTTCCTGGGTGTTCTAAATTCCTGGATGATGTGAACTATGGCATGATTGTAATATATATAATATACTCATTTTGGTCGTCATTTGTGAAAATTTGTGTGATTGAAATACTCAAAATATTGATCATTTATTGTTTTTTTGAGGTGATGATCCTTAATTGCTGATACATCAGAAATGAAGCAAATACTATTTGGGCCCTAAAAAGGCCACAAATCAAACAATTCAGAAAAAATGAAAAAAAATCGCTTAAAAATCAATTGTGAAAAGGTGAAGGCCGAGAAAATAAAAAGGCCTAGGCCCAAAAATAACGAGGCTGAAATGTTGGGCTTGGCCCATCTACCTAATCAAAATTAATATGAGAAAAAAACACGAATAGGCCGAATTATTGGGCTAGGCCCATGTAGAAAACCGAATTGGACCGGGCTGAATCTTGTGCCACATCAGCTTGCCATGCTGGATGCCTACGTGGCCTGGGAGGTTGCTAGTGACCAAAACGCCATAGTAGGAATATTTTGGTCGTAAACGTCCACGACCTTCTTACAGAGAAGGTCACTATAGTCAGTTTACGACGGCCAGCTTTTGACCTTCTGTTTTTGGTCACAAAAAGGTCGTAAATGGAAATTTGTGATCTTTCAGTGACCAATAGTGATGGTCACAAGTTGACATATTTCTTGTAGTGTCACGAAAGCAAAATCGTGCCTCTCGCGAAAAAAAAACCAAAAAACGCGTTTTTTTCCTTTCCGAAAGAGGCACGCCCGTGCCTCTCGCGAAAGCACAACCGTGCCTCTCGCGGAAGCAAAACCGTGCCTCTCGCGAAAGAGAAAAAACAAAATAAAAAACACGTTTTTTTCGTTTTCAAGAGGCACGGCCGTGCCTCTCGCGAAAGCACAACCATGCCTCTCGCGAAAACAAAACCGTGATTCTCGCGAAAAAATGCACTTTTTTGCGCAAAAAATTATTTTTTTCGAAAAAAAATTGTTCGAAAAGCTAGGGAAGACCGGTAGAAAACCAAAACCTTAAAAAACCCAGAAAAAAAACATTTAAAAAACCGAAAACGCGTGCCGAAAAATAAAAAAACAAAATTCGAAGGGAGCGTCCAGAGCGCGACACGTGGCGAATGGCTGAGAGCGCGCCAAGTTGCGTTGATCGTTGCAAGGCTCCCGAAGAAGCGCTCGTTAATTAGTTGCTCCTGTCTGTAGGTATCAAGAAGATGAAGAGATAGTTTTTATCATAAAAAAAGATGAAGAGATAGTTTCAACTAGTGCAGTTCCATCATGAAGGGAGATCATCCAACACGGCTGCTCACCATTAAATTCGCTTTTATCTTATGAACCTGGCCGTTGAAATTCGGTTTGGTTTCTCCAGCCTCCTGGCCCGGGTGTTGTACCTGTTACGGTCATCTTTTTTCCTAACCCAAACTTTGTTTCACAAAAGAAGAAGAAGAATAAACGTACAATCCTGGCTTGCAAGTTGCAATCCCAACCAGCTTCCTTGGGCCAGGACGTAAGCAACGTAGCACGCAAACCGGGCGTGGGCACGCACACGACTACTCCGATCAAGACTAGACACGATCCTAACTGCACAATAAGTCGGCGATTGCGATACGAAACCAACCAGTCTCCGCCTCTCCTGCCCGGCCGGCCGGCAGCGCTGGCTGGCCGGCCGTGCCTGTGGCGCCAACAACCGGATGCCGTGCGACGTGAGTGCATGCATGCGCCAGGTCCCGGGTCCTCCATTTTTCCCGAAAATATGCGCGCGAGGTCCCGGCTAGTTAACGCGCGGGGTGGCCGGATCGAGATACGTACGTCAAGCGTGGCTAGTAAGCTTGTTCGAGCTTCGTCGTTTCGTGTGTGCTTAGCTCTTCTGGTCGTCGGCGGGCTCCGGGGCGCAACCGTGCGGCTCCGCGTCGTTGCCAGAATTGAAGGCCCATGCAGCTGGCGGGGTGGCGGTGGGCGGTGCGTGCATGGACAGTTATGGCATCCGTCGCCGCGCGGGCCGGAGAGCGACCTCGGAGAGGCGTCCGGGGCACGGGCGCCATTCGTCACCCAGAGATATGTAGGATAATTAGTTTGATATCAACATTTGGCATTGCTAATATTTGGCAAGCCAACAATTGACAATATCAAAAGTGCCAAAAATTGATAACTTTTTATGAGGTTGGCACATAAACATGGTAGCCAACCAAGCACTAGCCAATATTTAGCATTTGCCAAATGTTGGCATGCCAATTTTTGGCATCAAACCAATTATGCTCATGATCATGCAGACTGCGTTTGCATGCATGCACATGCGGTGCTGATTGCGATCGCGGCTCGTCTACTCGAGGTTGTAGTGTCGTTGTCGTCAGAGTTCATAACCGGTTGTTCCTTCCTACTATCATGAATTTACGATACAATACTTGTTGCCGCCTTTTGCATCCACTCGGGGTGCGCCGTGATCAGAGGTTGTTGTTGCCTCTAGGCCTTTGTGTCTCGTCGGAAAAACCTTGTTGAAACGTAGGAGCTTGTAGAAGCAACAATGAGAGAAGTCGTCGTTATAGAACAGAAGGCAGCGGCGACCGTGATCAAAGATTACCATCCCGGAGAAGGTAGTACCGACGAGGACCAAGCAATAATCCTGACTTCAGCTAGACGGAGGAGGATTCACAAACCTCACAAGTTCCCGAAGGAGTTGTATCTGGTTAAGCTTCATTGAACAGATATTCATTTGGAGAACAGTTGCACGCTGCCCCCTCCATAGGACACCGTTGCCATGGGCGAATGCTAACACTGGCATACCTAATGACCGGCAATCGACACCATCCTCCAACTTGTCGACACCCCTCCAAGAAAGCCCATTGACATGGAGAAAGCCGTGGAAAAGTTATTTCCATCTCTACCACTACCCCAACTTCACCGGCAATGAAGAAGTTGAAGCACCTACAAAGCCCGAACTAGACACAAAGATCCCCCACCCCCACCCACCTGCAGTCATATTGACCGGCGGGAGGCAGATGAATCCGCGGCGGCACCACAGGTCGAGAAATAAGATGGTGTAAATTTAATCGTGGATAATACCAAATTCATGCAACACATACATGAGATGATCATTACTATTCTCGGTTGAATTTGTTCATTCTTTTTATTTCTCACTATATAAGTTAAATTTCATCAAGACCATACCAATGCACTATTAATTAAAAATAGTTTCCCACGTCTAAGGCCTGCAAGAGTCTAGATGTGAGGTGGAGTGATGAAATCTATTGCCCATCCTTCTTCATCAGTTTAGCCTTTAGATGGACTGGCTAGTGCATGGACCAACGGTGATTGAGTCTCCACTGACAAACAATTCCTGACGGCTCGCCACCAATCACGTGCTTCTCCCCCCAATACATTGGGCCCTAGTGACATCTTCTATATTTCTTCTTTCTCTATGATACACATTATATATTTCTGTTTACTACCTTGTTTTCAAATAGGTGGCATATAAATTCAGTTAAAAGTCAACTATTTCTAAGTTAGAGCAATTATTTCTAACATAGTGAGGTATTGGAAATAACATATTGGGGTTCCTTTAGACTTTGAAGAATTTGAAGGGATGAAAGTGAAGCCCCTGTATAAAACTACAGGGGAGAAGTTTCTAGGATTCACCTGGAATTGCTGTAACAAAGTAAAATGCTCTCCTGAGTAAAAAAAAGGCAAAAAGTTTTTTTTTGTGTGCATCATAGCCCGAAAGAGACAGGCACTTAACGATACCTAGCTATTAAATCGTTGTGATTTGGCCTTCTGGCTCCTGCAACCTGTTGTTTGTATCATGCCGTGCGTATACATGGGCTAATGGGCCATGGATAGATGTAACTGATCCCTTATTGTTGTAGTTAATTAGATACTGCAGAGAGCAGAAGAGTTTGAAGTGTGCAATTTTATTCATGAGACTGAGAGTAGAAGTAGGAATTTTGCAGCAGACAATTTAGCTAAATTTTTGTTATCTCTAGCGTCGAGTAGACATGTATGGCTGTTGCAGCCACATGGTATTGTAACAATTCCTTTGGACCTCCTTGCTCAATAAAGCAGCGCCGTTTCCCCGGAAAAAAACATACTGCAGAGATCAGCTATGGATTTTCGTAATGTTAGATATTACAGATGCTCTCTTTTTGGTAACTATATACACGTACAGTGGTAGCGCAGTGAGCATATATAATGGAATCCAGACATGCCAACTGTCCAGGGACAGCTTATCCATTTTCAGTATATATTACTAACACTGCTTGAGCGACTAGCCATTTCTGCAGCTACATAGGGAATCAACCCAGACAGTCTAGCAGAAGGACACCTTACCCAGACCCTTGACATTTTTGCTTTCTGAAACAAAGTGTATGCATATCAGTTGTGAGATCTACCCGTGAGATTGAGCTATTTGTGCAAACCATGAAAACAGATTTGGGTTGGACACGCCAATCAATTCCTGTGGTCCAACATGTATATCAGTTGGGCAGCGGACAGTACACACTGAATAACGTGACAGTGCGATCGTATTCCTTTTCTTTGAAAAAGGCCAACTGACAACGATCTCAGTAGCGTTTCCCTGCCCAACAAACGAAGGTCATGCGCCTCCCGGTGTAACTTTGATGAAAGCCTCCTCAGTCAGCTGAGAAACCGCGACGCATCCTTTGCCCCCACGCCCCGACCGGCCTGACGACACCTCGTCGCGTTCCCGGCTCTCCCGCCTATTTAATGGCGAGCTGGCAACCAGCGCTGGGCCTAGGCGCATCTGCAAGCCGCGATCGCCGGCCAGCTTAGCACCACCGCACTGCGTCAGTAGTCAGTACACCCGCGACGTACGACACCTTGAGACGCCATGTTGATGGCGCCTCACCATGCAAGGTCGTCGACGTCGGCGACGGTGCTGATGGTGCTTGTGGCCGCGGCGGTCGTCGTAGGCGGCGCGGCGGCGGCGGCGTCGGGGAAGAAGAAGCCGGTGGTGCCGGCGGTGATCGTGTTCGGGGACTCGACGGTGGACACGGGCAACAACAACGTGATCGGCACGGTGCTGAAGAGCAACTTCCCGCCGTACGGGCGCGACCTGCAGGGCGGCGCCACGGGCCGGTTCTGCAACGGGCGGCTGCCGCCCGACTTCGTCTCCGAGGCGCTCGGCCTGCCGCCGCTCGTGCCGGCGTACCTCGACCCGGCCTACGGCATCGAGGACTTCGCCACCGGCGTCGTCTTCGCCTCCGCCGGCTCCGGCCTCGACAACGCCACCGCGAGCGTCCTGGTACGAGCCACGAACCCGCATGCGCCAACCTGCACGCCGCAGCTGCAGCTGCCGCGTCCGTAGTGAGTACAAGCGCAACACGTACGAGTAACCTAGGAAAAAGCTAGCCAGTAAAACTCACACGCACTGACGCACGCAACTAGGAGTAGTACGCGGCCGACGACGCAAATGCTACTCCTGTTGTTCCTAGTATCCGAAGGCCTCTTGTTCCGTATCACCGTATGGTTACTGAATAATTTGGTCATCAAGTGAGGTACGTGCAACAGTTACACACAGCACGCAGGCCCATGGGTACGTACCAGTCTACCTGCAGGCAGCTTTTAAGTCGACAGGCACCGGGTCCATTGCGTAAAACCCCATAAACATGGCAGTTGAGCCATGCGTTCTGGAGCTGCTGCTATTTTTCTTGCCGAAACATCATCCCAGCCGTACGTCTGAAGCAATTAACACGATTAGTGCCAAGGCGTGTACTGATCTACTACCATATGTCCCTCCGTTTTGAACGTTAGATGGATGTGTGGAGCAACACAATAAATAGAGCAGATGCGCTGGGTGGAATCTATATGAGCCCACCAACTGTTGCCATTCGCGAGCGCCATGCCGTTTATGCAATTCTGCAGAGGAAGACGTACGCAACGGCTGTCCTCCCAAATTCCGATACGGCAAACCGGCCGCGCGTCTCTTCTTTTTCAGCATCACTTCCCCTTATATCTTTATTACTCCCTCCGTCCGAAAAAACTTGCGCCTCAAATGAATGTATCTAGTACCAAATTAGTGCTAGATACATCCATTTGAGAAACAAGGTTGGGAGAAGCGTTTTCGAACGGAGGAAGTACTTCCTTCGTCCTATCATATAAGAGCGTTCTTGACATACTGTTTTTGATAACAAAAAGCAATCCATATATTTTCCGGACAGAAGATATGCATTTATACGTCACTTGCACACCGTCTTTTTCTCAAACCATGCATGTGTTACTCCACCGGGAACCTTGATTAGACGTTGCAGATCACCACAAGGCACATTGGTCAACGGCTCTAGCAGGAACGCTAGATCGATCGGCCCGGCCATCAGGTTGGGCGGCTAATTAATCACAAAGCGTGCACACTAACGACCCAGTACGTACATAGGACCTTTGCTATTTTGCTAAGCATCACCTAGGTTGTTCCTCTTGTTTTTTCTCCAACGCAAGCATTCTCGTGGTTGCTGTTGATCGAACCTTCTCCTCCTCCGAGCAACCAACTGCATCTGCATCCACAGGCGTTAATTGGCTCTGCATTCAGTGCTGGGAATGGCCAGGCACATGCTTCTTCTGATCGAGCCACCCAGAACCAACCCATCAACATTCATCCGGAGATGGATCTGCCGTTGGTATAACGACCTGCTGCTGCGGCGCATAATCGCCCTATCAGCCTATCTTCTTCAGTGTGTACCCTGTCCTGTTCAGGCTAGCTAGGAAGCTTCTTTTCCAGATCCAGAGTCCACACCCTAGAGTGGTTCTGTACCATGAATATCCATGATCAGACAGCATTTTCTTTGCTTCCCGTTTCCTTCAGCTGGAGATGCCCATCAGTCCATATGCTTGAGAGCGACGCGGTTCGTTCTATTGACACATTTATTAGCGGTCAGTCCACCGTTTTCGGTCTGAATTTGGCACCATCGATTGTAGTAGTTCCTGTAGAATTTATGAGCCAAACAGTGGTGGTTTGGTTCGTTGCTCTCACCAACCAGCCGCACCGATCCTTCCCGGGCCAGAATCTGTGTAGTATCTGCAGCCAGAGAGGGACTGCCGTCCTAATCGAATCCGATGTGTGGGTTTGATCTTGGATGTACATATTCACAGGCATTCAATCTCTGAATCCACTGCACTATACAAAAGTAATACTGTCGATATTCAGAATTCAGGATAGCATGGCATAGTCCTCTGTTTAGAAAACAACATTCAGACCGAACAACACATTTGCTGATCCTCCTCTCCGCGTGGACATGCAGGCAGTGATACCGATGTGGAAGGAGGTGGAGTACTTCAAGGAGTACCAGCGCCGGCTGGCGAAGCACGCCGGGCGCGCCCGTGCCAGGCACATCGTGGCCAACGCGGTGTACGTCGTCAGCGTGGGCACCAACGACTTCCTGGAGAACTACTACCTGCTGGTCACCGGGCGGTTCCTGCAGTTCACGGTGGCCGAGTACCAGGACTTCCTGGTGGCGCGCGCCGCGGAGTTCCTCACGGCCATCTACCGCCTCGGCGCGCGCCGGGTTACCTTCGCGGGGCTCTCCGCCATCGGCTGCGTGCCGCTGGAGCGCACGCTCAACCTGCTCGGCGGCGGCGGCTGCAACGAGGAGTACAACCAGGTGGCCCGGGACTACAACGTCAAGGTCAAGGCCATGATCGCCAGGCTCCGGGCGGAGCTCCGCGGGTACAGGCTCGCCTACATCAACGTCTACGACGACATGGTCGACCTCATCGAGCACCCCGAGAAGCTCGGGCTGGAGAACGTCTCGGAGGGGTGCTGCGCCACCGGGAAGGTGGAGATGGGGTTCATGTGCAACGACAAGTCCCCTCTTACCTGCGACGACGCCGACAAGTACTTCTTCTGGGACTCGTTCCATCCAACCGAGAAGATCAACCGCTTCTTCGCCAAAGGGACGACGGCGGTGAGCTTGAGCTTGTTGAGGTAGGAATCAGCTGCCGTACAGATCAAGCGAATATGAAAAGGGAATGTGAGCACTGAGCAGTACTGTGATCAGAGTTGTCGTTTAACTGGTGTAGATACATAGCATGTATGTGTTGAGCGTGGGCGATTCGATGTACACTGTCTCACATGAAGTCCGTCCACTATTTGGGTTTCAGTGAGAAAGATTAAATTTACATACTTGCATTGTTGGGTCTTCGATTGTGAAACTATAACAGTTTAGCTATATAACAGTCGCCTGACTTTTCTCTTTTAGTTCAGTCGATTTTCTTTTTACTCGGTACATGCATGCATGCAAGAATGGCTTTGGCCTAGCTGTATGCATGGCTGCATGCGGTGCCATGCCTCCATGCCGGTATACGCGCTGCATAATTTTTTTCTCTTTTCTCTTTATGCATGTTAGTTTTTTGGTAAATGTTTGTGTGCCGCGCGCCGGCGCAACTTTCGGCCGGCCGCGTCGCTTTCGTGCGCACAGTGCGTACATGTACATGCACGCACATCACACGGGTGATGGGCCGGGCGCCACGCTGGCTACACAGGCCCACACAAAACTGCTTCCGTTAAGATTTACGTACGTGACGGCCCTACGTGACGGTTGTTTTTTTTCTTCTTCTTAATTATAGTTTGCCTTATCTTCTACTCTCTTCGTTTCAAATAAGTGTCTTAATTTTGTACTAGCTCTAGTATAAATTTATACTAAGCTCAAGACACTTATTTTGAGACGAAGGGGGTACCTTTCTTCTACCTCCCGCCTGCATTGAGTACTACTCCTGCTATAAAATTGTTGCATCCGTATGTACATACGCTGCAACCGATGAATCCAAAAGCTGGAACCGAAGACAGAGGGGCGGCGGAGATGTTGAAACCACCGATACGGGTGTTACAACCATTGATAAAAAGAAGCTTCAAGCCTAGATCAAAAAGCTTCATTCATCGACAGCGGAAGCTTCAACCAGCCACTGCCAAACTGAAAAAGTTGCAACCGTTACTTAAAAAGCTTCAACCATAGGTGAAAAAAGTTTCAACCGAAAGATATACAAAGTTTCAATCGGGCACTGCAAAACGAAAGGAGTTGCAACCATTTACAGAACAAGCTTCAATCATAGATAAAAAAGCTTCAATTGGGACGGTGGAAATTAAAGCTTCAACTTGTGAGAAATGCCTTTACCGGCATGGAAATAGCTTCATCCGGTGTGAGAAAAAACTTCAACTGAACACGCCAATGGTGTGAGCGGTGACATTGAAAGCTGCGGCCGGCGGCACGCTGATGCAGTGACGTATGTGCTACGATGGCGGCTGCTAGGTCCTGCAACGACATAGGTGTCGGCCTGTACAAGACGGCGGTGTTTTTCTACGGGGCGACTACATCCTGCTGGACTAGCAAGGGCGGATCTGCGAACGGCGACCACTGGCGACGAGGCCGCCTGACCACTACGACACCATGGGGAATGCTGCAACCTTGCTACGACAAGATGCAACCGTCCCATGATAGAGCTGCAACTGGTGACGCGACGGCTGTGACCAGTGATAGGGAAAGCTGCGACCGTGATGAGGAAAGCTGCAACCGAGGCCAAAGAAAGCTACAATGGGCATCCAAAAAAGCTACAATCGGCAATAGAAAAAGCTTCAATCGGATATGGCAGGGTTGACCATGGTGCAAGTGGTGACGCCGAAGGAGCTGCGCGGTGGTGCATGGTGCTACTGGAACGGCCGTGTGGCGTGCTACTACTGCGGCGACTAGGTGCTACAACGAGCGACGACTCCTGCGACACGCAATGCTTGAAGTTGTGAGACCATGGGACGGCTGGTTGGACGCCACCGACACATATGCCGCAACGTACGAGCGGCCATGACTGGAGGCGTTGGGCCGGTGACGCACACAAGGGCCCGCGTCCAGCGTTGAGTGTGGGAGGAGTAAAAGATCTCTTTATTTCTGGCGTCGAGTACGGCAACGCATGGAGTATGGAGTAATAACGGTTTGTGGAGTTATTAATATAGTACATATAAGCAAGGAAACAGGACGACCGGCCCAGGTGACATACGGATCGGACGAATTAAATTAGTTTGATCGAACGGTCATTAGCTGACCGGCGCGCGCTTCCGCCGGTCCGCCGGCGCCTAGCATCGGCCTAGTTTTTTTATGTGCGCGTGTGTGTGTCTGTGTTATGTGTCGTGCGTATGCGTGGGACTGAGACGAACCATGGATATGAGATATAGTATAAATTAATTTTTGACATTTGCATGTGTTTTCGATTTTGCTTTTTGTTTTTTGACACTATTCTTACTTAGATTTAGCTTTTAGTTTATTGTCTTTCTTCTTTAATTCTTTCTTAGGACTTTCTTTTCGCAAAAAGCTCACTATTATAAGTTTATTCTCGCATATTAAGAAAAGTGCAATTTACGTGTAAATTATGTGCAATTTATTTCATTTTCTTTCTTCTAAAAAGGTAATAACAATACCGCTAATACATTATTCCTTAGAAAAACTTTATTAATTTTATTTTGTTTTATTTTTATTTTCTTTTCTTTATTCTTTAAGGGTAATACCAAGCCATTAATCTATTAATTCTTAGGAAACTTCCTTTTCATGAAAATTGCACTATTATACACTTACTCTTACATATTATAAAAAAGCGCAATACTAGTGTAAATTTTGTGCATATTTTGTCATTACATTTTTTTTCATTTTTTTCTTCTTAAATGGTAATACCAGTGTCACTAGTTCATTCTTCCTTAGGGAACTTTCTTTTGAAGAAAATTTAAGTATTATAAGTTTATATTCGCATATTATCGAAAGTGCAATTTATGTGTAAATTATATGCATTTTTTCATTTTCTTCTTCTGAAAGGGTAATAACAATGCCACTAATTCATTTTCCTTGGAAAAACATCATCATTTTGATTTAGTTTTAGTTTTTATTTTATTTTCTTTATTCTTTAAGGGTAATAGCAATCCATTAGTCTAATTTTTTTCTTAGGAATCTTCCTTTTCACGGAAATTGCACTGTTAATCTGTTATGCACTTATTCTTACATTTTATTAAAAAAATGCATTTTTGTGTAAATTTTGTGCACATCTTGTCATTTTTGTTTCATTTTCTTTCTTATTATATGGTAATACCATTGTCACTAATTCATTCTTCCTTAGGAATCTTTCTTTTGGCAAAAAATTCTTGATTATATGTTATGTGCAAAAAAAAAATCATTTTCTTTCTTCTGGAAGGGTAATAACAACGCCACTAATTCATTCTTCCTTAGAAAACCTTCATTATTTTGATTTTATTTTAGTTTTTAGTTTATTTTCTTTTTCTTTAAGGGTAATACCAACCATTAATCTATATCTTCTTAGAAAACTTCCTTTTCACGGAAATTGCACTATTATACACTTATTCTTGCATATTATAAAAAAGCTCAATTTTTGTGTAAATTTTGTGCACACATTGTCCTTACTTTTTTTCACTTTCTTTCTTCTTAAATGGTAATACCAATGTCATTAATTCATTCTTCCTTAGAAAAGATTATTATTTTAATTATTTTTCTTTAAGGGCAATAACAATGCCACTAATTCATTCCCTATTGGAAAATTTATTTTTTTCGAAAATTTCACTATTATATAATTATTCTTGCATATTAAAAAAGTGCATTTTCTTTGTAAATTGTGTGCAAATTTTGGTTTAGTTTTAGTTCTGTTGTATTTCCTTTCAATTATTATATGTGTATTCTTGCATGTTATAAAAAAGCACAAATTATGTGTAAACTGTATGAAGTTTTTTCACTATTTGTTTTAATTTGCATCAGTCAACGAACCCAAATTTTATTATCAGTCGACTAACATGCATGGGCTGTTACTAAATTGAACTGAATTTATTTCACACCGCAAAAAAAATATGAATTTATTTAGCTACCATCCATCTATAGGAGGGAGTGCATGTGCGTAAAGGTATTGATGCACAATATTTTTTGCAACTAGTCATGTACAGTACGTGAAATGCATCCATGCATGTGTTTGAAGGCTCCTTCCTCTTATCCGAAAGAAGAAAAAATGAGGAAGAGGAAGGTAGCTAGCTAGCAGTGTTGGTGCAGATACGTACGTACGTGGTGTATGTGCACTGCTCAACGCTGCGCGTATGAATTCCCTGAAAGCGAATTAATATCGCGCGTGACACTGGCCGGCTAGCTCGTCTTGATTTTTTAGGTGCGATAGAGTTAAGTCTTGATTCACAGAGGTAACGAACCATCAATCAGATAGTTTTGTTGGCTGAAACAACTTTGTGTCGGTCGACTGACTCAAAGTAAATTTTCAGTCGACTGACCTATAGTCAGTCCCAAACTATAATGCCATTCAGATATCTACTTGTCAGATAAAGCATAAATTAAGTACCCAACACCAGGGAATAACGTCATGTTTTTAGGGCTCCGAGCGAAAGCCCTTAGGGCCATCGGATCACAATTTAAGGGGTGACAAATTCTCTGCACAGCGTGGCAAATTTGTTGCCATTCTTTCGCTACATGGCAACTTTCACCTCCAGTCATGGCAAATCCTACAAAGTCGTCATGGCAACTATAGTGGTATGGCATGCCAAGTTTAAAGCGTTCGCTGGGAAAACGCTCCCAGCTGATGTTCACTAGATAGTGTTTCCCTAAATTAATTAGTGAGGCTCTAAGACGCTCCAACTCTTACTAAAATGAGGAATCCGACAGCGTGACCCTCCTACGCCACCCCCCCATGGGCGGCCAGGAGGGAACCCTAGCCGCCGCCGCCGGGGCGTCCCCTCCTCCTCTCCTCCCTCCCTCGCCGCCGCCAGGGGGCGCAGCCGGGCGAAGCGCAGCTGGCGCCGGCGGGGAGTTTTTGTCCTCTCGCGCGGGGCCCTTATGCGGGACGGGGCGGCCAGGCTGGGGTGCGGCGCTGGCGGCGGGCGCTGCGGCGTGGCGACGGCAGGGAGCCGGAGCTGTGCGGCGACGACTTCTTGCCGGCTGCGCGACGGGCG